CCCCAAAAGCCTCGCCAACTGCACCTGCTATTAACGCTGTCATCCGCCGGCAAACCCACGACGCCGCCCGTAATCCACGTCACTCTTGTGGTTGTTGTTGTTGTTGTTGTTGTTGTTGCTGCTGCTGTTTGTGATTTCAGTTTTGATAACTAAACTCGAAAGTTTGTGCGGCTTAGGCAACGTCGAACAGCATCCAGGCACCCGGTTATCCAGGCAGCATCCAGGCAGCATCCTTCAGCACCAGTTGACAGGCAACGCAGTTCAGGTGAGCCCACCATTCGAATTTCCATTAAATCCCTTAAGCTTATTTTAGAAAAATTCTGATAGGCTCGTGAACTCTCATAGGAAAGGAGATGAGAGAAGTGGTGAAAAGGATGGGCAGAAAAATCCACCATTCCGTGCTTATCATTGATTTGTAATGGTTGATTTTTGTAAATGTTCTAGTGGGGATTATTTGAAATGCCAGTACGGATGTAGAGTGCACCTTAGGATTTCTGTTCTACCCTGTGACATTATAAAATGGATAACATGGGTGTAATCAAATTTTGCAACAGCGTGCAACAGGCAAAAGAAGTCGTATATTCTTGATCCAGCATTTGCTGCTGCAACATGTCAGAATATTCATCCACGTATATCACATGCAGAACAATCCGGCTATTACCGATTTTTAAGAGATTTTAAGATCTAGATGATGCCGTGATTTTTGGAATATGCACACTTTGGTTTGTCATATTTATATCCTCCAATATTAATTAAGATCCGAAAACAAACACAGAGGGAATGAACTAGTAGAATGAAATATAAAAAGTATAGGGTAGAGCAAAGGAGCCCATTAATATTTGTAAAAGTAGCTCAAAGCTTTGTACGAGTCTGGTTTTCTCAGCTGAGCTCAGTTGAGCTATTTTAATTGGATACTAAACTGAGCTGAGCTCTTGCCTTCTGCCATATTGGTTGTACATTTTCCACTTGACTTAACTCCGATTAAAGTCATATTTTAAATCAAAACTCTTAATTTTAATAGCAGCTAAGTAATACCATAAATAAGAATCTCGAATGCACAAAGAGAAAGCAGGCATTAGCTGCAACATTAACAATCAACAAAGCATTTTTAATTCTTTAGCGTTTTACGCCCTGCCTCATATTAAAAAAAAAACAGCCACCCAACGAGCCCCCCAGCAGCACATAGAAAAAGTTGAGAGCTTTGCTCCAATTTTACAAGGAGAAGCGGAAAAACCATTTGAACAATGCAGGAAAAATTTCTACAAACATTGCAGCACAAGGCATTAAAGTCAGAGTTATGATATCAAATGTTATATAATGTTACAAACACCCTCAGCTCGTATTAAATGATTTCCATTGTAAGCGCCCATTGAAAAAGTTTCCGTTCTACAAGTGTTGGGGGAAAAACAGCTCAAAGTCGTACGAATGAAAAGATAATTAAAGCTGCAGGAATTATTAAACTTCTGTATAGTATTAAAATACAATTGTCATAATAGGTATAGATGCGTAAGACTGATACATTTCTTTTTGAGGAGCTTGCGGAAGCTCTTTTAACAAATATATGTAAATAAGGTATGGCAAAATTCCAGGACAAGAGGCCAGATTACTTTTAAATTGTTGGCACTTGTAATTTGCAACTTAATTAGGCACTAAACCATCCGATTAGCCGCTGGAAATGCTTGTTTCTTTAATTCAAAGACAGTTTTTATTCTTATGTAGTACGATATTTAATTGCTTTATAACAAACAGGATTGTTGCTTCAATTTGAAAAGAGCCTTGCAGACTATTTAATATAATACTATAATACCTTTCTCATCCATCTGAATTTTAGTTGTGTTTCAATGCTTGCCCGGAACTGACAGCCGCAGCGGTTGCATTCACAGCAGCAGATGCGGTATTAGTGAGAAATGTGAAAAATTAGCTAGACTATAGGCCACATACCTTTGCCAGTGTTGGCTACCAATTATGCCGGTTGCTGTGGTTTTGTGTTTTTGTAATTCGTGCACGGTCCAATTTTAAGGTGAAAATTCCCCATGGTCCGTTGCTAGATGCAAGTCTGGGCTCAGTGTCTGCATAGTGCATAGATTGTTGCTGCAATCATATTTGAGTGCCAGCCCATCGGGCGTGTGTGATGGGTGTGTCAGTGCCGCCCAGTGGCAACTGGTTGGTGGTTTGTCATTCTGTTTGAGCCTGGAACCACATGCAAGTTAATGTCTCCGTCCCATGACCAGAGTATGACAGCAGTTTTAAGCGGCGGCTGAAATAATTTCAATATTGCGCCTGCGTTAGACTAGGATCCAAGCAAAGAAATATGACAAACGATCTCTATTTTAGTGCTGTCGCATCTCAGAGATCGTTTTCTGAAACTGCTTTCAACCATTTTAAATATACAGATACGATTATAATATTTACAGTATAGGATATGTTTTAGTTAATTGGGCGAAGTAATTCCTCTTCCTTTGTTTATTCTCCTTGTGAATTTGTAGTGCAAACAGTAGATTTCCGTTTCATGCAATCCGGTTTTGTTTTCCTTTTCTCTCTTACATGCGCCATGCTTAAGGGATAGAGTAAAATATTATATTGATATTCGCCTAATATAGTGTATAAAAAGTTTAGTCAGAGCGAATGCCGCTATTGAATTGTTTCTGTATTTATTACATGATAAATGGTTTGCAATTTTTGCGCTCCCTGTGGGCGGAGCTTTATAACACACTTATTCATCCGCACACTCGCATAGAACCATATGCACACATATGAAAGTAAGTTGGGTATGCGAGAAAAAAAGCGAAATTCGCTGGCGGAATTTATGATGTCATTAAAATAAATTTTAGGCATGCGTGGACAAAAATGTGTACGTTTGTCTGCCAAATAGTTGTTGTTGTTGTAAATGTTGTTGTTATAAATGTTGCTGTTGTGAATGTTGTTGCTTCCATCAACACCCAACGACATTTTTCTTGGCTGATTGCTGCACTTTGTCGCCGAGTTGTTGCTGCTTTGACACAAAGTATCGTGTAGCTGCATTTGCATGGCAGTGTCGCTGCTAGCTATTATTCTCTCACACACACACACACACACACACTTGCCCAGGCGAACAGACAGTCAGTGCATGTATGGAAATTATGAACAAAAATGTTGCATAGCGACGGGCGCAGATGAAGTTCATTGAATGGCGCTGGTACTGTTGCAGCGGATGTTGCTCAGCAGTCAGTTGTCATGTTGCAGCTGGGCTCACAGCCATAGACACAAGCACACACATAAATATGCTCACGCACACTGGTAAGGATTTTGGTATGGCGTTCGAGCAGGACATTTAAATTTTCCCTGCACGATTGCAACATTTTTCATTGCAAACTACAGAGGCAGATGGGGTGAATGCGGGATTAGGGACATACTCCCCGCACAAACTGTTTTATGGCAGCAAAATCTCAGTTGGAGTTGTGGGCAAAGTGCCAGCCGCAGAGCTCTATTGGCCCAGTTCATAGTACGTGTCCGCCAGGACGACGACGACGACGATGACCCTGTGTAGGACGACATCATCACAAGGATGGCTCACCATTCCTGGCGAACGAGCTGCTGAGTAAAAAGTCTCATCTCTTAGCTGCTGCTTTTAAGCTACTTAATTAAAAATTCTTTGTCGCCGATTTGCCATTGTGGTCGCCGTTGTTGCTTTTGGCACTGCGGTTGCAAGGCTTATGCCAAAATCATATGCATAAACAGAATCTGAACTTGGCTCTAACCGGCAAACCGGTCTCTGTATCTAAAAGTGTCTGGGGACTTACAGGGCTATTAGCTTCAATTCTTAGATAATCTTTAAGTCTTAAAATAATCGTATTGGTATACAACATGCGGCAGTAAATTGTATTTAAATAGTTGCACAAGTTCATACCAACCATCGTAGCCATGCCCCTTGTGCAGCTTAAAGTTTCCCTTGTGCTTCGTCTGGTCCTCTTGCCAGTTAGCTTGGTCAGCTGCAAAAGCGTTTTTAATTAAAAATTATATCAGCATTCATTGCAGCTGCCAGGCAAGGGCGAACGTTGGGGACGTTAGCGAACCGGTTGCTGTTAGTTGGATAATAGTTGTTAGAGCTCGCAACATGAATATGACTCTTTTGTTATGGAGGCGGCACAGCATTTGAAGTGTTAAGCACACAGTAAACAGTATAATAAATACATACATTATATTTATATATTGTATGAATATTTATACTAAAATTGTTTGAATGGACTTGTGCTCAAAATAATTGGCTCTCCATCCTACAATAAAAACAGCTTGCAAGTGGCAAGGTTGCTTGTTTGCCATTAGAAAGTCATCCTGATTCTGGTTCAAGTACATGAAGCAACAGCGATTGATAGATAAATTGACTTTTCCATGTTTGTTTGCTTGTTTTGTACCTTATTCTAAGTCGAAAGACTTTGTCAAGAGTTTAAGACATATTTAAATTTGCCTTATATAATATAACATTCACAGTTCTTTTAAATGTAACTTAAGAGAAATTCGAATTAGATTAAAGTCAGGCAGTAAGTTAATTAGGATTTTAACGCATTTTCAGTGTTGCATGCATACATATACATATGTAGGAGCGCGACAATTGCAAGTGCAGTATCTGCCCATGGCAGACTTTGATTAGAACCATTTGAGAGCTAAGCAAACAACGCATTATCGGAGCTGTGAAATCAGACAGCTACTCGATATGTGAGTGGGCTATGTGCTGTGGGCTGCTTGTTACTTGTAGTGTTGCCTGGTAGATGACAAGTTGCGAAGCTGGCATTTGTCCAACTGTCCAACACTGCTCCAATGGATGTTACGCAAATGCATATGACACATGTCAGAACAACGCCAACTCAAGGCTGGGCTCTAAAGTGTTCTGAAGTGTTTTTTTCTGTCAGCTTTTAGCTGCCAGTGCAGTGTGGCAGAGCTTCATTAAGTTTAACATGCTGCTCAACACTGACACACGAAGCATGCAAAATACATTTGCCTGCTGACAATTAAGTGACAGTTAATACTTTCTGATGAGTTTGGCAAGGCCAGGCGTAGCTCATATTTATGTAAAAAGTTTAAGCGATATCTACGCACTCTCACTGACTCATACATATATATCTTTCTCTTTTTTGTTTATAGCACCCCATATACGAGCAACGAATAAATCGAACTTGCATTTTTTTATACAACGCTAATGAATTTTTGTAAAATTAAGTTGATTAAACGGTCACGGCCCTTGGCGCATTTCTCGAGACTTCAGCCAGGGCCACAAATGCCCCAACTGTAGCAGCAGAAGAAAGGCTTTCCCATAAGGATCCCCACTCATAAATGCAGTGGAAGAAGAAGTTTACTCGATTGAAAGCAGCTACTGGAAATTCGCGTGTGCGAAGAATGCTTTGTTGTGGACGTAGAAAGGTAAGTTTGAAACTTTGTTAAGCCGACTAACTCTGAGAACTTTTACAAAAGTTCAACTATTACTTTACAATATACATTATATTGTGCAAAGGTCCTTTTATTTTAAGTAAATATTGAAGGCAAACTGGTTTTTATATTTTTTCAAATGTGCTTTTCGTACACAAAATTACAACATAAATGAGGTAAATATTCGAAGTCTTCCTAGCTGACTCAAAACCTTTCGCTCAAGTCATTTTCAGATAATTATTTTTCAAAATGAAAAATCCTCAAAATTGAATTTGTATCGATTTTACTCTATAGTAAATTAGCCATTGATGCTATATGACTTTCAATACCGCTTAATTGCACAATCTGATTTACTTTTTCTGGTGTCGCGTCGTCTGCATGCGTACCTTTAACGCAGTCGGTGGACATGTAACTCAATTACTTATGTATGTATATGTGCTACCTATCGTTTGTCTGCATGAGGGCTGCCAAAGTGGAGGCGGCCTGGCGTGTTGTTAACCAACGCCATATATTCCACTTTAATTGAAGCCGCCTCGAATTTTAATGAAATTGTTTGGTCGCACAACGTAATTTTATTTCGCCATGTAACTGAACTTTAATCAATGTGTTAAATTAAAGGTTTACCGGGAAAATAATTGATATACATGTTTAACACTTAAGTGAATTTAATTACCCCCACACTGCGGCATCTTTCACAGTTCATCAATTTTTTTTTTAATTCCACCCAACCGTCTTTTAATTAAAGCACTTAACAAAGCATTTTGCTAATGCTCCCAAGCACCAGACTCAACTAAATTCATCCCTAAAGGTAGACTCACAGGCTTTGTTGTCAGTTCTTCAAGTGTATTTGTCAACTATGTGCAACTGAGCAGCTCCAGTTGAAGGCATTAAGCAAGCCAGGCGAAATAAAAATAGCACCAACTCAAACTTAGGCAGCGGAAATCGCTCCAACTTAAGCCAGGCAACCAGGCAGCCAGCGAAAAACCAACAAAACTCCATCACAAAGTCAAAGGCGCAGCGCCCTTGTGCAATTCCCTCAAGATGCAGTCGACAAAGCATTGCGACCAAAGCCACACCCACAACGAGGGGTAGCGCGTCGAATCGATTATTTTTTTAGGGTATTTCAGCTTAGGTATGCAGTTTGCAATGATTTGACACAATATTATATGCTTGTTTAAGTGAAATTTAGTTGAACTGAAATACGAATACTACAATTTTACCTGCATTGCTGTCGTATAGTACTCGATATTATAAGTACTTTAATCAATATACAAAAATATAATTTTTATAGCGGTCAGGCCATAACTAATTTATAAAGGACGTCAGAATATGAAGCTTGCAATGATTTGACACAAACTTATATGCTGATGATGTTAGCCTTGTTTGAGTGAACTTTAGTTGAACCGAAATACTTACACTATAATTTTACCTGCATTGCTTACGTCTAATGTATTACTATTTCTATTATAAGTACTTAAATCAATACACATAAATATAATTTTGGTAGCGGTCAGGTCAAAACTAACTTATAAAGGACGTCAGAATATGCTTTTTTATATCGTATTAAAAGATAACCTGAACCCATTGCCGTTCTGCCGTTCTACAAACATTCAAACTTTCTCCTATACACAAACTTTCTCCTATACGCACTCACAAACACGCTATGCTTCTTCGTCCCCCAGCCCTTTACTATGATAAATGCATTCTTCAATAACTTCGCCGTTTATTGTTCGATCTTTAGGGCTTATACATGGCATTCGAACGTGTGCAAATAACAAAGCCCAAGACCTTACCAAAAAGGAAGTTGTTCAAAATGTGAAATATTTTGGAGATGTATTTATTAAAGTCTACTTACAAAATTTACTACGAGATAATCAAAAATGATGAAGAATTTATACACTTTATGAGAATGCTAATGCCATCTATTTGTTATCTAAATTTGCAAAAAACATTAAACTTAAACATTCCGACCGCCTTTTCAGGGTACACAATATTCCATAAATCGCATATATATTTTTTGAGCTTTTGTTGTTTGATTTTTCATTTATGCGGCGCATAAACTTTGACTTGCCGCTGCCGTCAAAAACTTTAACAAATAAATTAATTTACTCGCGGAGCAACCGAGGATAAAAGTTGCCTTAGCTGCGCGCTCGGCGCTGGCCTTTGCCGATACTAAGGATGATCGTCCTATGGGAGTCTGGCGGCTAAATAATTGAATTTACGCTTGCGGCATATTTAGCTGTGCCTTTTCTTGGCTGTTCTAATTGCAGTGGCAGCGCTTGTTGCACGTTGCTGTTCCTGCTGCTGCTGCAGCTGCTGCTGTGGCTCGATTTATATTTTTTATAAGCTGCATGTCAGGCCCTGCAAATTGATTTGTTAAACAATTTTTAATTGAAATGCAACACGCCCCCAGGCAACGTGTCAAAGTTTTATAGAAGCAATCTGATTGCCTGTAGGTTGCTGCTTGCTGCCTGCTGCCAGCTGCCAGCTGCGTGCCACTTGTAAACAGTCAAAGTTGCTCAAGTGAAATGCGCAGGCAATTCTATTGGCATACGTGGCAGGACTGCTGCATGCCGCGGTGACTAGTGTTGAATGGCAGCCAATAGGCAAATGGCAGCATATTGAATTACAAAAATCTACAGTAGGGGATGTGTACGGGCGTGACTGCAGCTGACACCATTTGGCAAAGGGTTTCACAGCGCCCCCCAGCATCCAATGGAGATTTAATCAATTTTTAGTGGCATTTTTTGGCGCAAGAGTTGATGAATTTATCGAATTGCATTTCGCAACGTTTAAGCTGCAGTAAATTATTTTGATTTATTCGCATGCCAAGCAGCACATTGTGGTGTATACGTGATGCGAACTCAACCAAGTGCTTTATACATTTAATTAAAAGCAATGATAGCGACTGACAAACAGATAAAAACCCGTAATGTTTTTTCATTTCTGCTGTCTATCAAACGTCAGAATACTTTCATTTCAATTTAAAGTTAAGAACTGTCTGCAGGCTGATCTGTGTAATTAGTTGACAAATTGCTGGTTATGACAGTTGGCGACAAATAATTCTGGATGCTACGCATCACAGTGCCTATAGACAATTATCAACTTGCCGCTTGGCTGGTCGCTCAAGTCCCGCAGTTTTGTGCCACGTTTCTGTCTATCTGGCTGTAAGTTTTCTGTGTGTTCCTCGAGTACCATTCACAAATAAACGACGGACATTTAGGCAAGAGTAGCGGCAGCGCAGCAGCAGCAGCAGAAGCAGCTCCTTTTGGTTTCTTGAGCTTTGCCAACAACAGTTGGTGCATTTGGGGTGCATTCGAGCAGCTCGCAGGATACACAGACACACACAAAGACTTGCAGACTGTTTGCTTCAATGCAGATAAGAATATTGCTTCAGTTGGGGCAGCTGCAAGCACATAGATACACACTACTATACAGTCAGCGGCAAGAAATTTCGCCCAAGACAAACACTGGCTAACATTTTAGTTGTTGGAGCCGCTCCAATTTTTGTTTTTTGCTTTGAAAGCTTCTGCTGATTTGAATACTCTCTACCCAGCGGAACATAGCAAAAGGTATGCAAAATAAGCTTTTCTTAAAATCACCAGCTCGAATATAATATAAAATCAACCTACTTTGAGTAAAAAGAAATGACCAACAATAATTGTTAATTATTAACATAAAAGAAAATAAAAAGTTTAAAGTAATCAAATGACATGTAAAGAGTTTTAAAGAAGTACTATTAACTCAACTATTAACCAAAAATAGTCTTTTTAATGACTTTTCCAAATTTTTGTACTTTCTCCACAAGTTTTTTCATTTCTTCCTTTCACTTCTATTTTGTATACTTTTTGTTGTGAAACTTAACAACGGCAAAAGAAAACAGAATTAGTTGCCGCATTGCTCTTCCTCTTATTGGTTTAGTTCTTGTTGGCGAATCATTTGAAAAACTAAGTATTAATTGGCAACACAGGTGCAGCAAGATTTTTAATTGCCGCAAACGCAGCGCGAAAGTTTTCCCAGCCATTTGCAGGTGTTGCTGTTGCACTTGGCTCGTTAACAAGCGTAATTTGGGTGCATTGAAACGGAAAACGCAGGGACAGAAAACCCAGCTAGGCTACAGTTTCCACTGATTATGATGGTACGAACTGGAAAAAGCGCAGGAACAGCAAATAAAGTTGGCAAGCTGTTTCAGCTACGCCACTAACAGGATTGATGGGGCAAATTAAGATAGGATTAAGTAAGCAATCTGTTTTTTTTTTTTATCGCACTATCCATCAATCAACGAATATTCAATTAACTAACTACTAAACTGTGAATACCAGATTGAAGGCGACCTTCAGTGTTGATATTGATGATACCTTGTATATCTGTTTACATGTTTTCCATGAACGAAATGGCTTATTTCATTATTTTGTATTTTTCTCTGTACTTCGCTTCTATAACAACTTATTTTTCACTTTTTAGTTACGTGTATTACGTGTAAGAACTAATTACAGTCCCTTCAACAGCACGCCTTGCATAAAATCAACTTGCTCTATTGACGCTTGTCAATAAACAAGAAACAAAAAGTCATTTTATTTTTCGTCTGTCATTTGCCCTTGTCGTTGTATCTAGTTTTCTTTTCTGTACCCTTACCAATACAGCTACAGGCTCTATTTGCTTTGCATATAAACTTTCGATTGGAGAATTTTCTTGTTGTGACGTTAAGACTTTCGACTTTTTTATTAGTACTATATTAATTTTGAAATAGTTCAACAGTATCTGGTCAAGACTGAGGACTGCAACGAAATAATTTAATGATGTTTTTGAATAGTTTTAAAAATTTGATAATAGACTAAGACTATTCAAAACGTGCAGAAGGCTATGGAAAATTTTGAGAAAATTCCTTGTCATGCATTAGTCTTATGAAGCTGTTATATACTTGAAAATATCTAAGGAGACTTGTTGACCTAGCAAATGATATGTATTTGATTATAACTTTTTGTATTTCTAGA